CCCCAAAACCCCAAAACCCCAAAACCCCAAAACCCCAGTCCTTTAATTTAGTATTGAACCATTGAAAATAAGTCTCTAATTCAAACTCTCCAAAAAGCTGGAAGTTGCTTGTTCTAGGTCTTTCAGCCTATTCTCGATGTTTTTGTCTTCATTATTCTTAAGTGGCTCATGCTTAAAGGTGCCTACATCAGCCTGAGTTCCTCCTAGCTTCTTTACAAAGGGGCTGATATCCTGGTTCTTATGTACAATTCCGTAAACAGAGAGGACAAGGTTCTTGGCAGCTGTGGAGATTTGATCTTTAACAGTGCTCAAGAAGTAGTCTTTGTCACAAAGACTCTCCATTTTGCTGATGAATCCTTCAGCACGCTCATAATCGAAGTCTTCAAGAAGAGCCTCAATGAACTGAGTGAAACTATCCTGATATCTGTAAGACTCAGACTGGATGATTGGAAGGATTGAGCCATTAAGCACATCAAAATCAGCCTTCAACAAAGCTACAGCGATGTAATACCTCAATAAGTGGATTGAGCCAGCAGCAAGCACTGATTCATACTTGTGGAAGAAGCTGAAAAGATCCTCAGCAGAATGGTGCTTCTTGTAAAGGAACAGAGCAACGTTGAGTAGCATGTTCCTTTGAACTAATTTTTCTGATTCAGATATTCTTTCTCTGTAAATCATTGCCTCAAGAGTCTCAAATTGCTCAGTGGCTGCCTTGTAATTGTTTGTAAGAACACTGATGTTTAACAATCCCCACTGAGAGCTGAGTAATTGTCTGCTTTTCATGACAGTGGAGATTTCTTTAAGAATTTTCTGACTTTCAGAATATTTTCCATTCTCATATAGAGCTTTAGCATATTGAAAAACTGATTCTCTTTCTTCATCAGATGCCTTATCAATACTTGAAATAACCTTGTCAGACTCTGCCTTCAATGTAGCTAATTTTTCATCAAAGGCTTTCTTATCTTCATCAGTGTTCTCTACTTTTGCCTCTGCAGCAGTTGTTGAAATCTTATCAAAGAGATAAGTCTTGCTGAGAATCTTCAGTTTTTGAGCAGCGACAGCTTGCTTATCAAGCTGAGCTGTGGCCTCTACATGTTCAAACAGTTGTAAGAACAAATGATAGTCAACATTATTAGCGAATTTCACAAGATTTGATTCCATCTTTATTAACACCTCCTCGTGTTTTGTAATTTATAATATTTTGGACTATAATTTTGGGGTTTTGGGGTTTTGGGGTTTTGGGGTTTTGGGGTTTTGGGGTTTTGGGG